GAGTAATGGAGAATGGTACTTCCAATGCCAAAATGAATTGGAAATCAATGCACAAAGACACTCAAAGCCAGCAAGCCTGCTAGTAATTCTGACACCCTGTTAACTGCATCTTAGTGTCTGGTGGCCTTTGCTTCTCCCGGCGACAATGTAGCTCTCATTCTGCTCAAGACATACTGTCTTCCTTTCATGGAGAATCACTTAGAATACTTTGGAAAAGAATACCTAAGTGAAATGCCAAAAAAAAAAAGCTGTTTCTTGGCACATTCCTTTTACCACCGCTATCTGCCAGCAGATGTTGTACTGACCTTCTGCCCTCTTTAGATCTATGTTTTGTAACTGAGGTGGAATATGCATCATTTTGAAAGACATTCGTATGGATTTACTGTGAACCTGGTGCCTGCCTGCATTGTGGTAGAAATCATATTACCAGATTCCTAACAAGAAGGCTTATGATGTTAGAATCTGTTAAAAACACGAATGAGAAAAGGCCCCTTCAAACAGAGCCTGAGGAACTGGTTCAAGCAACAAAGCCCTGTTTTCCATCTTTTATGTAAAGCAAATGGATTAACAACAACTGGCACAAAGCTGAACTGACACCCTGACTTGCTGTGCCAGGCAGGCGCTCTGTTGAATTGTTTGCACCAGCCATTTCTTGTGTGCAAACAGGAAGAACTTGTTCAGGCAGCAGCCATTCTGAATGGTATGTGAGGATTTAGTGAAATACATGCTCAGGACAGCTTTCTTAATCCTTTCAAGTCTGCCCAACTGAGGGAATTCCAGGGTGACAGATGAAGGAAGCGTCCAAGTATTTCACTGAACACAGTCAAGTCCAAAAAAGAAAGTTGAAGGAACTTTGTTATATGTTTAATTTATGCTCATCCAACAAATACCACTGTTAGGAAAAAAAGTTTAATAAACGATGGTAATAAACAGGCTCATACTACCCACTGATTAAAGTGTCATGATGCCTCTTTAGAAATCAAAGAAGTTATCTTGCTAATGAACTAAATTAGACTGAACTAACATTCATGTTAATAATTATTACTTACAGAGCTAGCTGTGTTAGAATTGATGATAATGTGAAAACTGAATATAGTAATAATATTTCTCAGGTGCATATCCTCTAGTTTAAAGCAAATTTGACAGGAACATGCAAGTACCTCAATGGCCCAATTTTGAGAAATGGAGGGAATTTTTTCATAGTGAGGATGGTAGATTCTGTCCTAGGTGAATAATGAAAACAAGGCTAAAAAACAAAATTCCTTATTAGAACCAGAAGTGTTAACCTGACAAACACATTCATTCAAACTCTTTAGCACATGAAATATATATATGAAGTACATATGGTACTCATTTTCCCTTAAAATGAGCCATGATTAAAAAAACACAATTTTATATTCTCAAGGTTAGAGATAGAGAAGATATGCATTGGCGATAATATTGATTTTTTAAAAATCTACTGAAAGACTATTATTAGACATAGATTATAGTTACAGTGAAAACTGGGAGCTGCTTTTAATCCCCTAGGGGGTGGGAAGTTATGTAGGGTCCTTTTTGTCACTGTCAAGGTGTAGAAAGAATAAAAAATACTTTGGTGTATTTCATTATTAGTACACATGAACAGTTTGAACTCTCCATTACTGGGTTGTCTTTTTTCATAGTCGGTACTTTTTCAGGCTCCTTCTACGAAACTATTTGACAAGGAAAAAAAATAGCCTTCTTGGTTTGATATGTGAGTATATACAAGTTCGCACAGGTTTTCACAAGAAAGTAAATGAAGAGCATGCCCTGAAAGCTTAATCATATTAACTCTGAATACAAAGTTTCCAAGTTTAACTCTCTTAGCACTGAATGGGAATGGAAAACAAAGACTATACTATGAAGGTATTTCTTAGCCTTGGAGAAAATATTAAATACAATCTATTACTACCTTTCAAAGTAAAGTTTACTTTATATCTATAATAATATAAAATATCTTATTTAGGCACAACCAGATACTATTACTTGACTGTTTTGAATATAGAACAAAATCTTTCTAAAATAAGAAATCATAGACAAAATGTCACTGGTACCTTGGAGGATGTTGTCTTTCTTTGAATTAAAGCGACAACTAACAAGCAGGGTACAGTGGTAAGCACCTGCAGTCCTCAGCTCCTTCAGAAGCTGAAGCAATGGAATCCCTTGAGCCCAGCAGCTCAAGGTCAGTCCAGGTAACATAGCAAGACCTTGTCTCAAAATTTAAAAAGCACACAGATACACACATATAGACACACACAATAAAATACCAAAGACCAAATACTTCTCAATACATACGAATGATTAGTGAAATTAATAATTACTTCTTCAATATTTCAGTTCTCTCAAACTATTACTATTAATAATTATGAGTAACTCACCTTTATTTTTTTTTGTGAAGGGGGAAAGAAGTGGCCAAGGTATTTTATATTAAATTAGTAATCACACTTTTTTCATCAGAGTTTAATTATTTGATATACTTTCTACATGGTCCTTATTCACTGCTTTGTCTTTTAAGACAAGCAAGGTGAGTCAAATGTGAATATTGGACTTTGACACAATTTGGACCAAATTATAGAGAAAACAATGTTCCAAAAATTTTTTTTTTCTCTAAACACTTATGAAGTGTCAAGATAGGCCATAGTGAATCAACCAAGCATGTTTTTCGAATTATTTTAGTAAAGGGTGAGAAGTTGTAGAAACACCTTTTAAAATCTCAACATTTTATAATAGCTTATTCCAATGATGGACTAATTTATTCTATTATTCCAAAGGGTAATGGTATCGCTTTATCTGTTTGTCCATGACGTATGTCTATGCAAACTTCGTATGGGTTTTACCTCGTCGTGCTAAATGAGCAAATGAGGAGATTTTAAACACATCTACATTTTAATATGTGAGCCTATAGCCTGCTACGTACGGTCTTCTACAGTTTATAGTGAGATGTTTACATCAATTAAAAAAAAGATGAGAGAATGGGTTACTCGAAGAGTTTGTTTCTTTGTAATCAACTCTAAAGAGACCAAGGTCATGTAACAGATTTCTTTTTCTTTCTTTCTTAGCCAGGGAGACTATGTGAATGCAAATTGCTTTATTGGTGAAGAGAATTAAAATTATAAAAAGCCAAGCTTAAAGAAATGCAAAATCAGGGCTGTGTCGGAGCAGGGACAATATAATTGTGGTATGGATTCCCATATGGGACTAAATTATCTAGATTTTAGTAACGTCAGCAGTTCTGTGTAGTTGCTGGAATGCAGCCAATGTGCCATATTTGCTTCATTTTTAAGATGGTTCTGATTCTACACAATGTTAAATATGCAGAAAGCTAAAATTGTTCGGGTATCTTGGTGGCACTTCTCAGATACATGTCTTTGCATGTCAGGAATTTTATTTGACTGTTAAACAGGAAGTGACACCAATGTGACTTTATTTTTCTAAGCAAAATGCCATTTATTATCATTTCTATCTAGGCTATAAAATCTTCCCAGTAGGGGAAAAAAATACCCTTTTCTGTGAGTACATATCAAGGTTGTCTTCCTTTACAGTGTACCATTCAGTAATACTGTTTTGTAGCAACTCAATAAAGCTGATAGTTTTTCTGGGTAATTACCCACAGCCCCCCTGCAGGACAAATTAGCATTCATGACCTGAATAATGCTTACTAGAAAGAGTTCAATGGAATTTACTTAATCAGAATCATTGCTTTCTCTTGGCTAATTTTTTTTTACCTAGTCCCCAACGCCTGCTAATAGCAAATATCTTTCAAGCCAGTGTTTGGTACTTGTTAGAGAAAAACACATGAATCTTTAAATTTTGTAATGTATTTGTATTTATATTTTTTATATCAAGTGTGTGAAAAATTAAAATATCCATCTTCTTTAAAATTTTTAATTAAAGTTATCTGTTTATTTCTATTTGTAATGCTTACTGGTTTCAGAAAGACAAAGAGAGAGATTTTTCATTTTCTAATTATCCCTCAATTGTTTCCCAATTTTTTGAGGACAAAGCTAGACAATTGGCTGTGATTTTGTGATAGATGCTTGGTAATCACTCTGTATTCTTAGGCATCAAAAATTAGGAGAACTTTGAACAGACAATGGGTGTTGTTTTTGACCTTTCTTTTTTTTTTTTTTTTTTTTTTTTTTTTGAGATGGAGTCTCACTCTGTCACCCAGGCTGGAGTGCAGTGGTATGACCTCAGCTCACTGCACCCTCTGCCTCCTGGGTTCAAGCAATTCTCCTGTCTCAGCCTCCTGAGTAGTGGGACTACAGGCGCCCACCACCACACCTGGCTAATTTTTGTATTTTTAGTAAAGACCAGGTTTCACCATATTGATCAGGCTGGTTTTGAACTCCTGACCTCAGGCAATCTGCCCACCTCAGCCTCCCAAAGTGCTGGGATTACAGGCATGAGCCACCATGCCCGGCCTGTTTTTGACAATTTGATTGATTCTTACTTTGTTCTTGATGATTTATTTAACAATTTTATGATGTGAACCAAAATATATGAAATGTAGATACTAGGAGATTAGAAGAAAGGAGGAGATAAAGTAATATTCACTGAGCTTCTAGTACTTACAAAACTCTCTGTCAAGTAAACAGTATATTTTATTATTGAAATGGCTCAGTGAGGGAAGAGGACTAGTATCTCCATAAAAGAGGAACATGAGTTTCAGAAGTTAGGATACTTACTCCAGGTTACACAACCAGTAATGAAACAGAACCAAGACACAATCCCCAGGCTGCCTGAATCAAAATCTTAAACTTTTTTTGTTTTTGTGTTTATGTGCAAAGATCTTAGGTTTTTAGAAAGGCAAGAAGAGGAAGTTCTAAACCAGTTGGTTCTAACCAATTCCCTTGACTGACTCTCTAATTTGGAAAAGACTCATAGCCTGGAAGAGGAAATGTTTCTGAAATGCAGCTGCATGTTAATGTCTTTGAAGGACAGCTCTATAGACAACAATCAGGATCAGAGAGACATAGCAATGGGGCCGTCCTCTAAGGTTTATTTTAGCTTATTTCTACCCCTTTCTGTCATCTTCCGTGAATCTTCACAACCCAGTGGAGTAAAAGGCAGGTGTGAACTGTTGAGACACAGGCTCCCACAATGGAGCATTACTGATGGTTGAGAAGTAATCCAGTCAAATCAAGCTGAAGGACAGTAGTGTGAGATAAGATCCAAAAATAACAAAGTAAAAGCAGAGAGGTCCTTTGGGGATGCAATGCACTTAAATCAGTGGAGACACAGAATTCTGTAGGATGGGGAGATTTGTCTGGAGGCTTAGTTTGTACGGCAATCTCAGTTTTTACCTAGGTGGTATGGTTGTTTTGGGTTGCATATTATGTTTGTTTAGAGTATATGTTTATTGGAGGTGACGTGGGGTAGTTAGAGCCCCAGAAAGAAACCTCCAGGCTCTTCCACTGATTAGATTCCATGGTTCCAGTGAGTTAAAACAGTTCAATACAATTGAAAAGGAGGATTTGCTCATTCAGGCCTTGTGCCTTGCAGTGCTGAACTGAATTTGGTACTTAATTAAGTTTCCGGGGGTGCAAAATGGTTATCCCATTTCTAAATCTAAATAAATCAAAATGTTTTTTCAACTTCGGGGGTTTCAGAAAACCCACAACACATTTTTGCACAGATTTTCCTTCCAAACACTAGAATATTGCAAGGAAAATTCAATCCATATGTTTCATATTCACTTACAGTTGTATCAAAATCTTGTGTTGCAATTGACATTTGATGTTCATGACGTTTTCTGAATGCTTCCTATTTGCCTTTAACTCAAGAACATAAAGTTGATTTGTCAAGCTTATAAGTACCAAAAACTCCAAAATATTAAATTTGAGTTGAAGACAACAAACTTAAAATTCTGCATCAGGCATTAAATTTAATAAAGCTTTTGTCTTACTATCTCTACAGTGTTATATACTTGCAGATGTGCATATGCCTGATGACATGGAGCACAAAGACAGCATACTTTTGATACTGACTTGGTGAAGAGAAAGTGAAATGATAGAAAAGCAAGGACACATATTTTTTATTCTGGTATTCCTTCATGATTTAAATATTAACAGTATATTGTTTATAATTTAGTGCAAAAAACATGTGCACTGACAGCCTATATCTAATTTTCTTCTTCCGTCCTTCAACAATTTCCGTTCACTCTCTGGTTAGTGCTTGGCAACTCCTTATTTCCTGCCAGCGTGCAGAGAATGATGAATCTTCTGGCCAGTGGGTCCCTTCACATCACCATGAAGACAGACAACACTGGGAGGAGGAAAGGCAAGAGGAAAAATAAGTCCTTTACACTGAAGCATCCGTGTCTTTGGGATGGCTGTATAAAGGAATCTCCATTTGTTGCTATTAATGCTATTTTAGAGGTTTCTAAAATGATTATGTCCCTTTGTTTAAGGCTAATAATGTGGTTCTGCCTTTGCTTAGAACATGAAAATGGTGCCTTCCAATCAGAATCAGCTCAGAGAGGAGAATCATATTCCCAAAGAGCCAGGAACCTCAGGAAAAAAAAATTGCTGTTAGCACAAAATAAATAATAGTCTTCTGACATTTGTTTATGACAGTGTCTACAGACAGCATAGGAGTGGGTCATTCAGTTTGCTACGTGACTTGTATATGTGGGCTCTTTTATAGTTTTCATTATTCTTGTTTTCAGTGTTTCTTCTCTTAGAACCAAAATCATGTATGTTCATTGTAGAAAGTAAGAAAATGTTTGTAACTAAAAGAAGAAAATATTTCTGAACCCTCACTTCCTAAAGATAACTGCTATTTACATTTATTATATGTCCCTTCATTGTATTTTATACATAAACATTCACGCACTGTGTTTTTTATAAATACGAGATTATACAGCACATACTGTCTTATTCACTGGCAATACAGAGCTATAGAAGATTATGCTATATGTTTTTAAGTCTTCCTTTCTTCTTTTTTGATATGCTATATTTTGGATGGCTGTATATAGTTCATTGCTGGAATAAAATATTTAATCAAATATTCAAATATAATTATTCAAATGACTGGATGGTATTCCATTGTCAGAATGAACTATTTAATCATCAAAATATTCAAATATAATTATTCAAATTTAATAATTCAAAATTTCAATTTTCAGGCTGTCCCAATACACTGGTTACATAAACAATACTTGAAAATAAGATCTTTCCTTTAAATCTTTGCCAGTGTGAATAATTTTCTCCTTAGAAAAAATGCTCATACGTGAAATAACTAGTCAATATTTTAAGGCTTTTGAAATATGTTTACAAAAACAGCATGAACTTTCCTTTTGTTATTCTTTCAGAAGGGCAATAGACGTATGCCTCTGTTTCTATGGCCTTCGCTTGATCCTTGTCAGGATAATTGCAAGAGGGCCAGAAGGCTGAGAAGGTAGAATACGGTGGGTGGCCAAGAAAGACTATTTTGCTAAAGAGAACAAAAGGGCCGAAATGCGTGTCTTGTTCCAAGACTCTTTGTTATTTAGATTCCAGCATTTTCTTCCTGCATCTCACGCAACACCTCCTATCACTCCTGCAAGGTATCACCTGACTCTTAGAGTCTGCAGTGGGAGCCCCGCATGTTCTCCATGAATAAGGCTAGTTTTATAGTGAACTCTGATCGTCTGACAAAATAATATTTAATTGTAAGAAATGTTTTTCCACAATCATGAAAATTCTCGTAAGTCTAACATAGGCCAACTTCTATTTGGGAATGTAATCCTGTGTGAAGACCCTATGAAGTAAATGGGAATAATCTGAGTAACTAGGGAATGTAATCACTCTATCCCTAGTTAGGAGAGAGAGAGAAAAGCTACGTGGGAAAGTGTATAGACCCTGTGGGAGAAGGCCTGAGTTCACACCCAACCTCTTCATTTACTAACGTTATGACTTTAAGCAAGTGGCTGGAGCTACCAAAGTTTCATGTCCCCTCTGTCAGGTGCTTATATACTCTACATGCCATCTCAGTGGTGCCGACACAGTATCTCACATACGGTGGGTGGTTAATAAATAGTAAATACTTTAGCTATCTTTAGATGGAGAAGATACAAGGCACTCACTGAAGGCTATTTTAAATGCCTTTAGCCATTTCAGCCAGAGGCCGTATTGATTAAGAATCATGTTCTACTACAAGTAACAACAACAAAAGAGTAGCTTAAACTAATGCTTCTTATTCTCTTCATCTACATAATTTCACACCCAGACATAGACATTGTTAGTGGTTTTTGGTTTAAGAATGTCAAAACCAAGATGCTTCGGATTAATGCATCCTTTCCTCTCAGCTATCAACATAGGGCTGCTGCCGCTGCTTTAGCCCACTGTATTAGCCCCATGTCCACATTTCAGGAAAGGAGAAAGAGGAAGTGCTGGGAGGGAGAGAAAGCACTCAGGTGAGAAATCCTGAGCAGACTGCGAATGTCTCATTGGTGACTGCCACCCCTCACTGCAAGGAACGGATGAAGAGCTGGCCCTTGCTTTTCTAGAGAAAACCAGACTAATATTCTGTCTGCCAAAGATGCCTTTTTCCCTTCTCTGACCATACCTCTTTCTCTTGTTTGCTTCCTGTTCGAGACAGAGTAGGCTCAGCTGGCAGTTTGAGGGGTGTTGCAAATCCCACCCAATAATTCACATCTACCAGTTTCTGTGAAAGCCTAAAATTTTAGCATCAGTGAATTAAGGAACCACCCACTAGATGTTAAAATGCATCTATCTCTGGGAAGAAAGTTAGTATATTGCTTCATTTCCATACTTAACACCTTAGGTAATCAATAAATGCATTGATTAAATTCCTTTAAAGAGAAAAGTAATTGAGACTAGGTTTTTATCGAGGAAGGATGGAGAGTTAATTTCTGCATGACAGGCGCTAGCCAGGCAGGCAGGAGTAGGAACGCATGAAAGGAAATAAAGAGCAGGAAGGGCAGTGTGAAGCTGCAGAGAGGCAGTAGAGGCTGTTAGCAAAGATTTGATGAGCACCTCAGAAACAAACACCACCTCCCGTATTGTATCCTGGCAATAGATCTGATTGCTCTTTTCTCTTTAGTCCGCATCCTGTCTGATCACATGCAAAACTCTATATTAACACTCCAAACCACAAAAGAGAAAACTAGCCCAACCTGTGCCTGATATTCTGTTAGACCTCACTTCAAGCTCCACACTGTGTGAAGCCAATGTGGTTATACTCAGGAGCCACTATTTACAGAAACAGGAAATGCTAGCAATGCAGGCTGCTTCTCAAGTGAGAGTCTTCTGACTTGAAGTTAAGATAGCAGAAAGAGTTGTTCGTCCTCAACATTTGACAAGGCAGACAGTGTAGCTTTATTGTTCCGCTCATGATTTCTAGAGACAAACGTGGCTTCAAATCCACAGTGACTACGGGAGAGGTATTTAATTTCTCTGTGTCTCAGTTTCTTCATCTGGAAAGTGGCCATATTCATGGTATTTAGGCTTGGCGTGGTGGTGGAGGTTGCAGTGAGCTGAGATGGCGCCATTGCACTCTAGCCTAAGCAATAGAGTGAGACCCTGTCTCAAAAAAAAGGGTATTTATCTCTTTAGTTTGTTGTGAAGAAATGAAGTATATAACAAGAGCTGAGAACTGTGTCTGGAACACAGAAGTATTTGCTTTATTAAGTTTAAAGCATTCTTTTTTTCTATCTCAGATAGTTTCCATAGATACTAATAATCACATCTTATATGTCTACAGTTTTTTACAATTTCCAAAGCATTTCCATATGTGTTTATTCATTTCGGGGAAGTAGGTCATTTTTATCATACCGATTTTACAGATGGGTGAATGAAGTCACAAAGGTTATGCTTATGCCCAAGGTCACATGGACAGTAACAAGGCAGAGACCGAAACCCAGATATTTGAAGACAAATTCAATGAACTTTCTGTTATGCCACATTGACACATTGGGAAGCAAAAGTTTTGGAATCATGGCAAAATGAACATGTCTCACAGTTGATTCTGTTTGTGTATATTTCTGATTCCCAAAAGCTGAATCTGCCTTTAGGTAATGTAAAGTATACTTGCCTGGGTAGGTGTAAGAAGTGTTTGACTTTCTGACTCATATGTAATTTCTGTACTATTGCAGAAGGATCACAATGTATTCCATTAGTATTGAATGACCCAGTAATTTTACTTCTATGAATAAACTCAAGGAAAGAATCTTTAGCAGTGAAAGAAAAAAAAAAGCTATATAACAAAAAAATGCTAATTTCGAGTTTTATATATATCATACCCAAGGAAGCAACAAATAATCTAAATATTCTTGGCATAGGATCAGTTAAGGAAACTATCATACATCCACTTAATGAAATAACGGAAGTGATAATAGCTACTGTGTATCGAGCATCCAGTGTGTGCGATGCATTTTACTAGCTCCTTTCAAATGGCATTTCTTTTGATTTCCTAAGAGTTAGGCATTACTGTCACCCCATTACACAGAGAATGCCCCAAAGCCAAGGTTGTATGCTCAGGGTGACAGATATGGCTAATGACTCATCTTTCTTGCTTCTTTATTGCTAAGGAGCCCTGATTTTGAGAAGAAAGGTACCCAGCCCCAGAAGATAAATCAGGAATAGTCCAAGCTCATAAAAGCGTTTCCAATCTCCTTGCAAGTAGTAAGTCTAGGGATGGGCATGTGGTATAATTCTTGTCAATAAGATTTAAGAATACATTTCCTTGGGGCTTCTTGAAAATCACTTCCTCAAGCCTTTTTTCCTTTCTTTTCCTGCTCCATTTTTTCTTGCCTTTGAACATTTTTACAAGAGCAGATGATACTGGAGGCTGAAGCAGCCATTCTGGGATCATGAAGGGATTAGAAGCAAATGATAAGAATGACAAAGTAAACAAGAAAACGAATCTAGGCCCCCAGTGGCTGTGGCTCGCCAACAAGCCTCCCTGGTATTGCCTGCTGCCTTTTGGGGTTTTCTTTGTTTGGTTGGGTTTTGTTTTTTTTTTAAACAGAAACAATACATATCCTTTTGGGATAAATGACTATTCGTCTATTGTTTAGTACTAAAAGCAATCATATTGGTTAGGGTTTGATAAAGCTGTGTGTGATATAGAAACACCATCGCCGCCCTCCACCGCACACACACATACACACATGCACACACACCCTAACTGGAACTTAAACACATTTTAAAGTCTCTGATATGATTTAGCTCTGTGTCCCCACTCAAATCTCACCTTGAACTGTAATCCCCATAATCCCTACATGTAAAGGGAGTGACCTGGAGGGAGATGATTGGATCGTGGGGGCAGTTTCCTCCATGCTGTTCTTGTGATAGCAAGTGAGTTCTCATGAGATGTGATGGTTTTATAAGTGTTTGACAGTTCCTCCTTCACACTCATGCTCTTTCTTGCCTGTTTCCCCTTCTGCAATGATTGTAAGTTCCCTGAGGCCTTCCCAGCCATACAGAACTCTGAATCAATTAAACCCCTTTCCTTCATAAATTACCAGTCTTGGGCAGTTCTTTAGCAAGATGAAAACTGACTAATACAATCTGTCTCATAACAAGTCCATGATAGGCAGTCTGGCACAAATATGGCATTCCACGAAGTCCTGAGAGACCCAAGCTTTTCCAGCTTTT